TATCGCGAATCAATTTTTCAATCTTAGATCAGTTACTGCACAAAAAGCTTAACTTATAAGAATGAAACCGCCACTGTTAAGACCTACTTTTTTATGCTAAATTCAATTATGACAAATTCAACTTCCAGAGACAATTGCATAATTAAAAATTTGGTACTCTATTTATAAGTTTTAATTTATCCCATCTTCAGTATAGAATAATACGGTTTCAAAACTGTCATCCGGCATTACTTGCATGTTTATTTAATTGCATTAACTAATCTACAGCAAATATTAAAAAAATTGAAATAACTGAAAGAAGAAACAAGAAGTTAACAAAAAGTTATCTTCGATATCTTTTCACAATTTTTCTTGCAATATTTTCTTTTTGAATATACGTTATATTATTATAAATGCGCCGTTATAAATGAAGCATTTTTTTTGTCTAAAATAATGTTTTCCGATGAAGGTACTTTTCGCAGTAATGGTGCAATTAATCGACATAAAATGCATTATCATTCAACAGTTATTCCGTTCTAGGTACAGCAAAAGCAAAATCATTGGTCACTTAATGTGTGGTGTGGATAAAAAAACTTTAAAGTTATTTCACCATTTTTTTTAGCGACCACGCGCCTAGATATTTAAACTTTTTTCAGAATGATTTAAATCAATTTCTTCAAAAAGTTTATAACATAGAGATCCAACAAATACGATTTCAGCAAGATGGAGCTCCTCCGCATTACCATCGAAAAGTTCGAGAGATTTTAAATAACCTTTGCCACGGAAATGGATGGGTAGAGCTGGATTGATTGAATGACCTCTTCGATGATATGACTTAACACCACTAAATTTCTTTTTGTGGGGATATGTTGCGTGCAAGAGGCCAAAACTATTTAGGATAAAGAACCAGCAGAGGTCTGTCGGCTAATAGCTTTGCCACAGCAAACTAATCTTATAGCAACAATCTTAGACAGAAAGAAGGATAAGTATTGTCAAAGTTAAAATAAATTGCAAAGTATTACAAATAGATATATGACACATTTATTAAAAGTTGTAGGTTTTTGTACAATTTTTCAGAAAAAAAAATTGTATGTTATGCCATTATATTCCTTTTACTCTGTAGCATCTAATTCAAATTCTGGTGCACATATTTTTTACGTGATCTACCTTTAAAAATAATGGTGCTATTTTAGTATTTTTTTGAAAAATTAAAGTATTGGATAAACTATTATGTTTAGGTATTTATTATTATTAGTTAAAAAGTTGAATAATTTGAAAACGGATTCTGAATAAAATTGTTTTTATCGTCACGCTTTTTTGAGCCGCGTTATATACTTCAAAATAGTTTTAAATTCTGCATCCTGACCAACTTTTATATTTCTCATTTTCTTATAACTTTTAAAACCAATGAGATAATGAACTTTCCTCGATCGTTGACTCACCCTGTACAAGCTAACCCATCCGTTTTTGCATCTTCGCTGACAACAAACTCTGTTTGCAAATTCACAAAAACATCAAACTGGTTTAAAAACACTAATTTGTTTACAAATCTACCTTAGTTTCCGCGATAAATTTAAATTTCCAATATATTATTTACGTTTCTGGATAACTTACAAGACTTAATTTAAGATATTAATTTATAAAGAAAATCGAATTCCCCATTCAAAAGTGTGATTCGAAATATTTTCCTTTTAACATATTTTCGCAATAATCTGAAACTCTTGCACAGCAGAAGCAAAAAAAATCAACCAAACTTTTACATAGAAGAAGCTCATTCCCGCGACGTAGGCACAGAAAACTTATTTGACGATGTTGGAATAGAAAACTGCCCCATTATAGGAGTGCTCCTGTCAGAAGCAATTGTTGATCAGACTACTTAAGAATTTATTCTTGTTTTGTCGTAAAAACCAGAAAAACTGCTGATTAAATGCAACACCGATCGATACGTGGAAATCAGAAAATCAGTATTGATTAAGATACCAGTAAGCTGCAAAACAGAAATAACCAAAGAAGAATTTTCCAACGATGAGAAAATTCGATCAGGGACACCGATCATTTTACGAAAGGTCTAGCTAACGCAAATAAACGCAATGAAGGTTTTGGCTACGGCTAGCCTTTTAAAAATCAAGTTCAATGAAATTCGGAACCAGCAAAAGAAGAAAGCAAGATATTCCCAACTGACTCTGTATCTGCTTATATACCGTTAGAGGGGGGCGGAACTAAAAAGGAACAGGTAAGATGTCGTTGGTTTTTCTTTGGTAGAAGAATTGATTACTTGTAAAAATTTTATTTTGCTCGAATACGATTTGAAGTTCGGTTTCATGATTGCGTTCGGCAATTGTTGATGAGTTTATTTGTCTTAGTCTTAAGGCTCTTTCATGTTTTTTAGCATATTCGATATTTTTGGCTCTGTTTCTCCAAGTTATTCTTTGCCCCGTATGCATGGAATGCGGTGATCTCCTAGTGTCTCGAACAGAATTTAGTCTTTCACGGATTGAAGATATTGAAATATTTTTGGCCAAGTGGTTATATTTTTTAAGAATTTTTGATATGTGCACCGTGATGTTTTGAGTTTAAGGGAGGACCTCAGTGGAAAGTGTGGGTTTGCTTTCGAATTCAGATTTTATTATTCGGAAATTATTAGAGAGAAGTGCAGATGTTAAGTGTTGTAACTGGGTGGTGATGTCAATGCATTAAGATAACCGTGTGCGTGCTGAGGTTTTTTGAAAACAGAATGTCCCAATGTTAAGTTTGATTTGCATTAGTATATTTTACTATGGGATTAAATGTATAAGTTTATAAATAAATGTTTTTAAAAGCGCTTTCTCACAACCACATTTAAGTCGAGTTTTCACATCTGAAATCCTTTTAAAAAATCCAGAATGTATTTTTTTCCATCTTTGCTTGCGATGTTCTTTATCGTCAAATTTTAAGTCAATCAGTGATATTTTTGTTTTGTAAATAAATATTAAAACGCATTACGCAAAATTATCTAAACAAATGCATATTGTTTGTATTAAACGATTCGCAAATTAATCACAAGCGTTATACTGCCAAACAATTTTATATTTAAATTAATTGCAGCAAACCATCGCAAATAATAAATTTAATAGCGACGATATTATTCAATAAATCGTCGAGAAAGGCCACAACATAACACATTTAAATAATTTTTGACGCGTCGATATAGAAACTCATAATCCATATTTTCTAAAAATATTCAAGGAGACTATTTTAATTCATTAGGTTCACATTAATATATCTTCAACTTATTCTAATAATGCAATAATATACATTTCGGTCCGAAATTCTCCTGACCTATGATTTAAATATTTGGACATGAATATATGGCAAATTTAGCACCATGTTTCCGTTTACTACCAAGTTAAAATATTACAAATTCCACCTGATAAAAATTGAGATTTATTAAATAATTCAATAATAATTCAAAAATTAGGAAAATTTGATATTAATAAAAACCCGCTTCTCCAACAATCATTTTTTTTTGTGTTATGTTCTTTTATTCGTAGGTAGGTAGGTTTTCACTGGGTTTTTGGGCCTGTATTTGACATAAACGACAATGCCATAAACGTTGTTCACTTGCGCTCGTTATTAATTTTTTTCCGTACCGATTTTGGATTATGTAAAAGCACTAATCATTATAGTAGTAAACAGTTCCTAGCCATTTCAATATATCGCGAAAAATTAAAAGATTATTCGACTTACCTGGAAGATTAATATTAATTTTCCGAGCTTGTTCGTAAATAGTAGATGTTCTCGATCATCATGTTTAAAGCAAAAAACGAGTTTTTTTTTGCTTTTTGTCTCCGCCGAACGCCGGCCGGCTGGGCCTGTGAATCATTCTGTTTCGAATCAAAATCGCCTAAGGGGTATCACTGGGTAAAGGATGGGTTTGTATCTATGGACAAGCTCGGAAAATTAATATTAATCTTCCAGGTAAGTCGATTAATCCTTGAGCTATGCACAGTTCTACCATTATATGAAGGTAGGGGAATTTCAGAAGCGGATTGCTTTTATTGGACGCTGATGCTTTAATCTTGTCTGTAATTTCTATTGCTGATGAGATTGACAGTAAAAAGACTAGTTTGTGCGTTAACTGTTTAAAGTTAGAGAATCCAGTGGATACCAAGTTTTTAAAACCGCCAGCGCGGGATCCAGATTCCACTTAATAGCGTATTTAGGCTCTGGAGGTCTTGTGTTAGCAACATCTTTTAAAAATCTGTTAATGATTTTTGAATCATCCTCTTTGGGGGAAGAGATTAAGTTCAGAGCCGATCTGTAGAAGTTGATAACAGAAGATGCCCCCCTATTGAATACACATTTCAAAAACTCTAGACAGTAGTTACCTATGTTATGAGAGAGCGGATCTATGTTGAGAGAAGATGAGATTTTCTGGCAACAGTCTTTTAAAAATAGGATAACACGGTTGAGAAGGGCAATTCGGTACAATTACAATACCAAGCGTTTTGTCTTGAATAGATTTATCAAACTCTTGAGTAACGCAAGGAAAAGGATAGGAAGGCGTATAAGTAATATTTGTAAGCTGCTTTTGTAGACGATTTTAAAAATAGAAAGCAAGAATTGAAACTAACGCTCACACAACGTATATTGATCGCAAAACAATCGCACAACCAACGTAATTGCCGCGCCCTTGATGCGCTCACCTATAGTTTCTTACGAAACATTCTGTAACATAAGTAATGTGGCTGATTACATACTGTATTCGCCGCGTCGGTAAGAAATTGCGTAATCAGTGTGTAGTACTTTGTGAATCCGTTGTGAACTTTAAACTTTTTTTTTTGTCATTATGATTTGTTAAGTCCATCAGGATATCCCTAGATAAGCAACGAAGAGAATACTTAATTTTCTAAGAACAGCAGATACTGACTTAGGTATACACAATTGTTTTGACTTTCTATAAAAGGGTAGATGTACCCCTTTGATCCAGTTCAGAACAATTAGTTCACTGGTTATCGCTTCCTACGCATCTAAAAATTTACCTTGTTCAAACAACATATTTCCCGGTGGTAGCAGTGTTTCTTGTAATCTGGCTGCTTCCCTCTTCTGATTGGTGTTCTCTCCTCCCTCCTTTTTTAAAGTGGTCCTCCCAGAGAAGGGCCCCGTTTTGTTACGCCCCATTTTTGACGCGGGGGCTCAGCGATATGACTTTGCTGTTATGAACACACCGAACCTACCCTATACCATAACCCTGACGGCGATTGGGCGCGGAACGATGCTAACCGGAACCATCCGGAGGTACTCTCTACTCGGGGTCCGGGGACCTTCCATGGAGCTGTTTAGAGTTACGAGTGAACCCGGTAGATGACTCCGCCAATCGCACTTGAAAGGACTACGTGACCTTGCTTTGTTGATATCGTCGATATAAAAGGGTAACGCCTGTTACCGTTTGTCTGGATCACGTGATACCGAGAAATATTGAAATCCAATGATTTTACTCTCCTTTGTCGATATCATCAATGTAAAGAGGTAACGAGTGTTATCACATGCATGGTTAGCATGATCCCGAAGAGTATTGTGAAATTGACTTATTTCACTCTTCTTTGTTGATATCGTCAATATGTAAAGGTAACGAGTGTTACCGCATGGGGTGGATCGCATGATCCCGGAGAGTATTGTTGAAATCGAGTGATTTCACTCTCCTTCGTTGTTAACAACGATATAGAGTGGTAACGAGTGTTACCGCATGCTATGGATCGCATGATCCCGGAGAGCCGTATGGCGTGGATCGCATGATCTCGGAGAGCATCCTTGAAATCTAGTGATTTCCCTCTCCTTCGTTGACAACAACGATATAAAATGGTAACGAGTGTTATCGTATGGCGTGGATCGCATGATCCCGGAGAGTGTTGTTGAAATCGAGTGATTTCACTCTATTTCGTTGATAACAACGATATAAAATGGTAACGAGTGTTATCGTATGCCGTGGATCGCATGATCCCTGAGAGTATTATTGAAATCCAGTAATTTCACTCTTCTGTATCAACATAAGTCTGGCAATAACTAATAATTTGCGGATTCCTAAAAAGTAATTGCTGCTTTGTATTAGCTAAGTTACCTGATGTCTCACTATATGAAGGTACACGAATCGCTGGATTCTAAGCATTGCAGTTTACTCTGAATTTTCTGAAGTCGCTTCAACTCCCATTTTTTCTCACTATTGGTTATTTTGCGTTTTGGCATTTTTAAGGACACAAATTTATTTCGTCGATTTACAAGAATACGACAAAACGTAATGATTCGCAGGCCCGGCCGGCCGGCGTTCGGCGGAGACAAAAAAGCGAAAAAAAACTCGTTTTTTGCTTTAAACGTCGTGATCGAGAACATGATGAACGGAGTGTATAATTGTATCAAGGACAAGCGACGGAAAATTGAAGTTCGTGCTGCCTTATCCATGTAAAGTAATTTTTAAAGAAAGTAATTTGTAAGGGTAATTATTATTTATTCAATCAGTTGATTGTTATTCTCAATGTGTTCGAAACCAAAATTCAACATTCGGACAATATTTGGTGGAATGGGAGCAAATTATTTTTTATAATTAGTTTATTAAATACACAACACAAACAGGTCCAAAAGAAGCGATGACAAATCAGTCAATTTGGAGTGTAATTTAAAGTATCATTTATTAGGTCGCTAACGATGTTTCTGGCCTACGCAAATTCATGTAATTTATACCATTCGAGCGTGCTTAAAGACTATTCTACAGTGTCAGATATATCATGACACCCCATTATGAATTTTTTATTGGAACCGTTCTTAACATTTCTAGGTCGCTATTGTCTCGGACGAGATATTAATGGGGTTCGTTGGCCGCCGCTTTGCGCTGCTTCGCTCTTTCCTGACAACCAAACGAAATTTAGATTTCTTTCCGGATATTTCCGTGTAGAATTTAACTTTCAAATCTATTGTTCGCGGATTGTGCGTTTGCTTTGTCGGTTTGTAATCGAAGTTGAAATAGAGGGAATTTTTGACCTCAGTAATGGTGGGTTATTTTAATTTATAGGCTACTTCAGAAACGTGTAGAGTACTAAGAAGGGAAATTCCATTCAGTTTGACGCAATTTCATTGTTTTACCATTTTTCATCCACATCTTATCTGCTCATTGGTCCTTGTTATTCCTTTCTGATAGAGTAATGAAAAACAAATGACACATTAATGAGAGACTAATTAATAAAATACTTAAGGTAGCGCCTTGAAAAAAATATGTGTTTAGTTTAACGCCTCTTTATTTGCTGTTAAGCCAACCAACTAAAAGATATTTCAATAATTTATATTTAATTAATAATAATATACCGTGCGTTCAATATATCTTGATAACATTTTAATTGGCTGTAACTTTTTTGTTTTTTGATATATCGAAGTAAACAAAAAAACAAAATTTAGGGTTAGTATCAAAGTTTCTTCCATATATACAAGACACTATCAATTTTTTGAGATATAAGCCCACATCATATTTTTTTTAAATAGAACACCCTGTATGATATATACATGTTTAATAGAAGATCTTATTTCGATTACAATGATGTAACGCACTTTATATTTTAGTTCACTCGTTTTTGACAAATCGGCAAAAATAGTAAATTTTTATAAAATTTCAAAGAACGGCCTGACTGACAAATAAAAATATCTTTGTTTGACATATTAATAAACATCGTTGATGGTTGAATTATTGTCCAAGTCATTATTCCTAAAACGGTTCCGGCATCCGTGAAAGGAGTGATATGCTTCAAGTATACTTTCTGAATAATAAGTGTAACCGCAGCTCGTCGTCAGTATATTAGACTTCACCCAGAGCGCCGACCTGCTTCGAAATGGATATTTCGAAGGCTGGCAAAGAAATTTGCAGGAAACTGTAACGTATTAAATACTAAAAAGGTATGCCGGAATCATAATGTTTTAAATGAAGAAAATAAGGCAAACACATTAGGATTCTACGAAGCACATCGAGTTTCCTCTATTACTAGAGGACATGAAGAGACAAGTATTTCCCGGCGATCAATCGACTCGAAACTCAAACAGTAAGTGCAGAACAATGTCAAAGGAGGATGGAATTTTGTTTGGGGTTTTTAAATAGACGTAATAAGAAAATTTTTTTTTGAAAAACATTTTATGAACTGATGAAAGTTCTTTCACTACAAGAAAGGGTTGTAATAGACAAAATTCATGATATTGATCTTTAAATAATTCTAGACAAATACACGAAATAAAAACCCACCAGCGCTACCGATCAATTAATGTATGGTGTGGTGTCATGGATGGGCTCGAACTTTAACTGGAGATCATTATTTGCAACTTTTTGAGCTCCAAATTAAACAATATATAGAAGATTTACCCTTATATATATCAGCGCTGATTATAAGGCAGCAAGACAGTGCCCCTCCTCACAATGTTGTGCAAGTTAAAAATTTTCTCAACATGGAATATCCCAGGGGTTTTATAGGGAACGGCGGAACTATGGATTGGCCAGCCAACAGCCCCGACTTAACTTTCATGAAATTTTTCTTTAGTAATAATGTCGTGGAACTTCTTCAAGGAATTTCAGAGGCAATCAAGCAGTTAGGACACAATTCGGACACATATGAGAAATGTGTTTAGGAAAATGGTGGTAACGGACAGCAGTATTTCGAATAGTTCAAGAAATTTTTACTTTAGTGTCTATATAAAGTGTGTTACATCATTCTAATCGTAAGATATTCTATTAACTAACCCTACATTTTTTTACCTCGATATCTATAAAAACAAAAAAGTTACAGTCAATTAAAATGTTATCAAGATAAACTGAACGCACGCTATAGTTTGGGTTCAAAAAATAGTGCTGAGCCTGATATTGATAAAATTTGTGCTAAACTAGTTCAATTAATAAAAACTGATTTAAGTAAAGCTAACAAATTCCTGAAAGTATTCCTGACGAATGTCGGGTTCAATGTAGCTAATGTATTTAAAAAGAGTGGACCAAAATTGCGTTAGCGGGATTAAACATTTTATATTTTTGGGCAGCATATTATGAAAAACTAGAGCAGCAGTAACAAGTGACAACGGATTTGTAGAATAATTGTAATCTCATTCTATCCCTTTTTTTAATAAGAGCGATTAAATTTTAAATTTGAAAACTTATATTCCTTCTTTTTTAAAAACATTCGAACATATAAATTCCAGGAATTGTTAGTTTTGGTTGGTAAATTTTGGGATTGAAACTCATCTAAAATTGAGTAGAATCTTTATTGCTTTTTTTGAGAACTGGTCCGTGTGTCTGAACCATTTGAGGTTAGCATCGATGTTTATACCCAAGAATTTGCAGTTATTAATTATGATTATGTCAGTTTTTATCGGGAATTGAATTTATATTTTTTGGTGTTTTAAAAATAATATATTATGTTTTATCGATATTCACGTCAATTTCCTTTTAAAAACAATGAATTGCTGGTCTGACAAAGGCAATAGATTCAATACTTCCCTGGTTTTTGTTGCTAGTGAGGGGCTTTTCATTTAAAAGAATAGATGGTAGATAATTTATATAAATGATGGAAAGCAAGAGACCAAGAATGCTATCTTCCGGCACATGGACTCCAACTTGGAATTTTTGATATGAAAAGGTTTTTTGCGGATGTTTAGCAGAAACTGATTCACTTCTGTGTTCCAAATACCTCAACAATCGTTGTCCTCTTACTCCATATTTCTAATCAGGGTAATACGTTTGGGCGCTAGTATATTTAGGAAATCTTAAGCTCAACATAGTAGTGCAGATAAAAACGCTATGTTTGAATTATGTAAAGTAGTTCAAGTGAAATTAAATCTGCAATCGGTTTAAATCGATCCGTTCGCGAATACGGGATGTAAAACCGAAACACCACAGCCTGTATGTTTGTGTCAATAAGTACCATAAAAAAGTGGAGATGCCAACAGGTGTATATTTGAGAGTTAAAACGCGCTTCTTGTTAATGTTCGCTGCTCGAGTATCCGCAGATTTTATTTACACTTTAGATTAAGCCTTCATCGGGCCTTAAATCTTTAAATAAAAAGGAAAGTTAAACCTCATAGGACTCTCGATATACTCCTGTTCTTTGAGTCCAGAAACAGAAATTTCTAAACATGAGAAGCGAGATCAAGATGAGATTACGGGACCGACGATGTTACTTGTTCTTTAAATATTCTTTTATCGTGCGCTCCGATTGATGGAATTTTAGGAATTTTAGTGCTGATAAATTACAAATATAAGGAAAGCGATATGAGCGAAACATCCCCTAAAATATAGGTCTTTGAGATACGTTCTTAGCATTAAAAATGCATACATGCGTTCTGCAAATCATGGATACGATGCCGATCTTATCACAATCAATACTTTATAAAATAAGGAA